GGCCTTCTCAAAACAGAATCAGAACTTGATCCGCAACCATATCTTCCATATCAACAAGAGCACCTTCATGGATGCATTCAAAGCTGCATACTTTCAATCAATCACACCTCAGAACATCCAGGCAGGGTTTAGAGGCTCTGGCCTACATCCGTTTAACCCTGAGGCTGTGTTATCAAAGCTTGATCCATCATTTTCATCTCCAGACAGGCCCGCCTCACATAGCTCCTGGTATGCAAAGACCCCAAAGACTACTCAAGAAGTCGATCAACAGGCTACATTGATCAAGAAGAGGCTAGAAAGGCACCAAAGTAGCTCTCCATCACCTATTTTTGAGGCATTGAACCAGCTTTCTAAAGGAGCCCAAGAAATGGCTGCTTCTGCTGCTCTACTTCAGTCTCAGGTTTTTGCTTTACAAGATGCTAACAAAGCAATGCATGAACGCAAATCCAGGAAGAGGAAAGCAATCACATTAGATCCTGCCCTGTCAGCCTCTCAGATCCAAGGGATAGTTGAGCAAGAGGAGGTTGAAGCACAAATAAGGGAGCAGATGCCAAGGGCTCCAAAGCGTGCTAGTCGGTGTAGCAAGTGTGGTTCCTTTGCTCACACCTTCAAACACTGTACAGTAGATTGAATAGTATTGTTATATAACACATTTAAGTCTCAAAGCAATCTATTAAGTATTGGTTGAGATAATCAGTGTTAAAGGTGGTAGACACGTAATTCGTGGACCACGCCGTGGGGTGGACCGCGCTCTGGTGTTTGACGTTATACCTAGGTACATTATATAACAAGAAGACCAACTTTTGGGGAGTGGGTTTCACCTCGACCATCACGTGATATGCCCCCGATCTGTCAATCTGCCAACCTGCGCGGGCGGGAATTGCACATGTGATGACACTGACACTGACAACTGCAACCCGTCATCGCTGTCAGATATGTATGTACATACCTAGTAGTCAGTACAGTACATACCAACCCAACGACAAATAAATAGATAAAGAAATAAATAACTAATAAATACAGCTGGAGTACTGCAGATCGGCATTGAAGGCTGGATCTATTTAACCAGATCGCGTGTGATGGTCGTATATGTAGGACGGAGCGCAGCCGTTCTTACCCAGCCAACATAGTCCAGTCCATAGTATAGTCTCTATACAACCTTGGAAACCTGGGAATGCTCAATCACATGTCTTTTTATTAGCTACTGTAGGTGGATCGTCATTTCCTCCTCCTCCTCCTCCTCCTCCTCCTCCTCCTACCTGCATCGGCCTGTTTCATTTGACACTGGGGAAAATAGTCCGTCAGTCCCCTCCTCCTACCATAATAACATCTACTACAGTATCTATCCACTAGGTAGTATCAAAGAATGCTTCATGCCTAAATCCACATTACGCGCCCCTCTCTCTCTCCCTCTCTCCCTCTCTCTCATGTCCATCCTCTCTCGCTATTTTCCGGCAACCACCACGACATAGATGTCTGCTCGTTCCTCGATAGACATGTAGTCTTCTCTGCTCACATTCATCGTCATCCCATCACCTGCAAATCGAATCGTCCGAGGCCTATGCTGGTCCGTTCTCGCGCTCCCGATTCGCGCACGGCACGATAGCACACACGACAATCCGTCCCGCCAGGTCGTGTCATCCCACCTCGTAAATCGCATCCTACATATCGCATGGTCCGGACAACACTGTTGGGTCGTAGTCTGCTGGCCGGTGTGTCCTGAAACTTTTCGTCGTGGCCCTCCTGTTGCCCGACGCGGACATCCTCCACCGACATGCCGGCCCTCACCAGTTCTGACGTTTCAACCTCGGACGAGGATACCCGGCCAAGGGAGAACGGGAACGATGTCAGCAGCCATGAATACAGTCGTCAATCTCAGAAGCTGGCACATCTCCACCCGAGCGCGGAGACCGACGCGACAGGTCCAACCCATGCCGTCGAAGCCAAGTACGTCACGCAGCTGGACGCGGTGGTGGAACTGGCCAACGGCAAACGCCTGCCCACCGTCCCGCTCGAGGAGGCGGAAAAACTCAACACATTGCGAGCTCAGTCTCAAGGTCTCGCATCTCCACGGCCACCTCGGGGTCCCCTTCGCCATGGAGCAGATGGTTCCGTCCATGGCGTTTCAAAGGCAGGCGCCAGCATCAGCGTCACCGAAGACGACGACGCGGCCGAACCGGCATTGGGGGATGCCCCTCCTGTCTCACACACCAATCCGCTGTTCCCTCCGCTACCCCTATATGGACCGCCATCTATATTGAGGACACTACAGAGCTGGACGTTCCGCATCTCGTCCGCATATCTATCCCTGGCATTCCTCCTCGCAATCGTCATCGGCGCGGCGGTCAGTGCCGTCCCCAAGGTCCTCAAACATGTCAGGCGGCGTGCTATGTTGCAGAACCCGAAGCGGCGTCGACCCTTCTACGAGGAGGAACTGAAGAGGAAGCAAGAGCGCCGGGCAGCCGATAAGGCCTGGCTGCGGAGTGGCGGCGAGGGCAGCAGGACACCTTCTGGCGAAAAGGGAGTCCCTCAGGATGGCGAATTCATCCCGACTCGAGGAGGACCGGATCGGTTGGTCAAGGACGTCGCGTACTATGCGCAAAGAGTCGGGTTGGATTCGGAGACGTACGAAGTGCAGACCGAGGACGGCTTCGTGATCGAACTGTGGCACATCTTCAACCCTCGTGACTATAGCCAGCAACAAGCAAGAGCTCGGGGGATGCGGGGACCTAAGGTGTTTCACACGAAACCCGGAGATCCCGACTATGGCCGTTCGCAGCCTTTCGCCGAAGGTCGCAAGAAATACCCCGTACTGATGATGCACGGTCTGCTCCAAAACGCCGGCGCCTTCTGCACCACCGACGACGACTCGCTCGCGTTTTACCTCGCCAAGTCCGGGTACGATGTCTGGCTGGGCAACAATCGATGCGGCGAGGTCCCGCGGCACACGTCCCTCACCTACAACGACCCGCGCATGTGGGCCTGGAACATCCGCCAGATGGGCGTCATGGACCTCGCCGCACTCGTGAGCCGCGTGCTCGCGGAGACCGGGTTTCCGAAACTCGCTCTGATCGCGCACAGTCAAGGCACGACGCAGACGTTCGTCGCCCTGGCCAAGGAACAACGACCCGACCTCGGCGACAAGATCTCCGTCTTCTGCGCCCTGGCGCCGGCCGTCTACGCCGGGCCATTGATCGGCAAGATGTACTTCCGCTTCATGCAGCTGATCGGCCCGGCCGTGTTCCGGCTGGTCTTTGGCATCCACTCGTTCATCCCGATCATGATGGTCGCCAAATCGTACGTCCCGGCCGGCCTGTTCGGCTGGCTCGGCTACCACGTCTTCTCTTTCCTCTTCGGCTGGTACGACACGCGCTGGGACCAGGGGCTCCGCGACCGCATGTTCCAATGGGCGCCCGTCTACGTCAGCGCCGAGAGCATGCGCTGGTGGCTGGGCCGCGAGTGCTTCGCGCAGCAGCGCTGCATCCTCGCCACGCGCCAGGTCGG